GGAGCTGGGAGGGAAACGTCTGTGGGCTTCTCTGGACCACCGTGGTCTTCTGTTCGACGATATTGGGGCGATCTTGATGCATCCAGGGGCCATATTGAGGCTTCGCTGGGCCATCTTGGGACCCCTTGGAGGCGTCTCACCTCTGGTATATGGCAATCTTGCAGGGAGCACACCCACACACCCACACACGCAACTCGATGAGAAGACTTGGGCTCCGCAGCCTGGTGGCACCGCAAGGGGCTGGCGGAGTTCTTGGCTCCCTGGTGAGGCCACTGCAAGCGCATGAAGCCCGATTGGGACAAGCTGATGAAGGACTCGCGGAGGAGGAAGAGGAGGAGGAGGAGGAGGAGGAGGAGGAGGAGGAGGAGGACAAGGAGAAGGAGAAGGAGGGACGACGATGACGACAACGAAGCCGAACGTGTAGGAGGAGGAGGAGGAGGAGGAGGAGGAGGAGGAGGAGGAGGCGGACCAGGAGTACGAGGGCTCCAGCACAGTTTTGATCGCGGACGTGGATTGCACGGCCGGTGGCAAGGAGCTCTGCAACTCAGTTGGTGTCCGGGGCTATCCTACCATCAAGTCAGGCGACCCTAACGATCTCCAGGATTACAAAGGAGGCCGCTCCTTCAATGACCTCAAGAAGCACGCCGAAACACTGGGCCCAACTTGTGGCCCAGCGAATCTCGATCTTTGCGATGCCGAGAAGAAGGCGAAGATCGAAGAGTTCATGGCCCTCAGCGCAGAGAAGCGTGAGGAGATGATTAAAGAAAAGGAAGCCGCGTCCGAAAAGCTCGAATCGGATTTCAAGGCCTACGTCGAAGGCCTCAACAAGCAGTACAAGGCGGAGTCCGAGAAGAAGGACAACGCCCTGGAGGCCATCAAGACCAGTGGGCTTGGCCTCCTCAAGTCGGTCCACAAGTACGAGGGCAAGAAGGCGAAGGGGGAGCTGTAGGTCCCCTGGGTCCGGGGCCTCCGCGTAGAGGCACGGGAACGCCGCGCGCAGGTGGGCAATCTTTGTTTTGCTCTGTCACAAATATTAGGTGTGTCACAAATGCGGCGGGGGCGCTGGACGAAGAATCTCGCTCCGAGGGGCAGATCCCTTGCGCGTCCCTGATCCTGTCGAGGCAGGGTGGTGGGCCCGCTAGGTTCATGCGGCAGGCCATCGACGGCCTTAACCAACGGCTCCGCGTCCCAACGGGAGTGCCCCGACGGAGGCGTTCCCCGGTCGTGGGCCTCCCCCACCGGGACCTGCAGTGGGTAACCTTTTGCGGGGTCAGGCATTTGCCATGAGACCTTGTGTTCCTCATCAGACGGCTCCTTGTGCCGACCCGGGGTGCTGTAGTGCGGGCATTTGTTTGGTCTTGGGCTTCCCCCAAGGGCCGTCGGGTTACATAGATCCTCCATCCCAGAACACCTTCGACGCCCTAACCACTCGCGACCGACCCCCATGCAGAACCAGGGGGAGGGTGTGCGTAGGGGGAGGGGTCGAGCTACCCCCCTCCGAAGGACGGCCGTCTCGCTCACTCCCCACCCGCTCTCTCACCACATGAGGCGTTCCAAGAAAGGCCCCGCCTTCGAGGATCGAAAAAGTTCTCGTCCCTTCCTCGGCATAAGGCGGCGGAAGGGCGGCGGAATAGGTCGGAGGAGGCAGAACGGAGGCCGCCGGCCGCCGGCGGGCGGCGGAAGGGCGGCGGAGGCAGAAGTCGGTCCTCCAGGAGGTGGCAACGTGTTGGGGGCGCGGGGTGTCGCCAGAGTCTCAGCATCGGGGGCAGGGGCCGCCTTCGACAGTCATGCGGGTGCGCGGCGCCCGCCCGCGAGGTGCGCCGCGCGTGCCAGGGCCCCCCCACCCCCATCCTCCCTGTCGGAGGCGGATCCAAAAGGGGCTCGCCGGGCGCCCGCGCATGGTCGAGGCCTTGTCGCGAGGTGCATGTCGTCTTCTCTTCTGATAGGTGGTGGGCCTGCGCGCAGCAGGCGATATGTCGGCCCCCCCTGGCCCCTGTCGAGAATCATGCGCAGCGGTCGCTTGGAACCCGCGCATGGTCCAGATGGACCCCAAAGTGAATTCTGTATCGTTTTTGTGAAACGGATGGTGTGGGGGGTCGCCATGTTCTTGGGTTTGCCCCCAAACAGGAGAGGAGGATCGAAGACGCCTACGGCGAATCACCGCCGCCCCCTGCCTTTGTGGAAGCGCCTATGTGGCCGAACGTTGAGGCCAGACCTGCCAAGCCATCGGACCATGTGTTCCCCGAATCGGTTTAGAAAGCCTTCGGGGAACACGTGGGCGTCTTGATGGTCATCGTCGCCGTCTTGGAGGCCTCTTGGGCGATCTTTCGGCGATCTTTGGGGGCTCTTGGGCCGTGTCGGGCCGTCGGAAGGCCGAAAAAAGGGAAATGCCCAAATCCATCAAAAACCTTGGGAAAATCAGTGATTTTGGCATCTTTTGGCCTTCCTGGAGGCCCTCTTGGGGGCCTCTTGGGCCCTTTTGGGCCAGCTTCGAGCCAACTTCGGCCATCTTGGTGGGTTCCTGGCACGTCTGACGCCGTCGGGAGCCGTTTTGGGGGCCTTTCTGGGCCAACGGGGGACCCTCTTGGGGCGCTCCAGGGCCGTCTTGGAGGCCATCTTGGGCGTCTTGGAGGCCATCTTGGGCGTGTTGGAGGCCTCTTGGGCCCTCTTGGGGCCCTCTAGGGGCCATCTTGGAGGCCACTTGGGCCATCAGGGGGCTCTCTTGGGGGCCTCTTGGGCGATCTTGGGGGCTTCTTGGGCCGTCTTGAGCCGTCGGAGAGCCGAAAAGGCGCAAATGCCAAAATCCTTCAAAAACCAAGGGAAAATCAATGATTTTGGCCTCTTCGGACTCTCCTGGAGGACCTCTTGGAGGCCTCTTGGGCCGTCTGGGAGGCCTCTGGGGGGCCTCTTGGGCCGTCTTGGGCCGTCTTGGACTCTCTTGGGCCGTCTTGGAGGCCGTCTTGGACCATCTCGGGCGCACTTGGAGGCCATCTTGGGCCATCTTCGCGATTTTTTGAGGATGTCCCGAGCGAAACGGCCGTTTTTGGATGATTTTTTGCGGTCGTTGAGCACGTTTGGGAAAATTCCGGGTGGCCGGCGGGTTCTGCCGGAGCCCACTGGGGAGTTCTTTTAGAAAAAGAACCAAAACCAAAACCTGAAACATCCAGCACGCCGTGCACCCCTGCAAGCAGGGGGCGGCGGATCGAATGGCCTTGGGCCCATCCCGCCACCGTGCCTGGGTTGAGGGTATGAAGACTATTGGATATTCGCTGGGATCTCGTGGGAGGCCTCTTAGGGGTCTGTTGGTGGAAATGTTGAAACCAGTTTGGGGCCCTCTTGGGCCGTCTTGGGCCCCTCGTGGGCCGTCCTGGGGCGCTCTCAGGCCGTCTTGGAGGCCTATTGGGCCGTCTTGGGGTGGTCTTGGAGGCACCTTGGGCCGTCCTTGGAGCGTCGGAAACCAGAAAAGGCGAGAACGCCCAAATGTTTCAAAACGTGAGGAGTATTAATGATTTGCGCCTTCTGGGGCTCTCTAGCAAGGCCTCTTGGAGGCCTGTTGGGGCGTCTTGTAGGCCTCTTGGGCCATCTTGAGGCCATACCAGGCGTCTTGGAACGATCTTTCGGCGACTCGGGGTCCTCTTGGACCGTCTTGGGGGCCTCGTAGGGCCCTCTTGGCCCGTCTTGGGGCCTTCTTGGGCCCCGAAAAGTAATCGAAAAGTCAGGGTGACAAGATGCGCCGGAGCCCAGGGAGCAAGCGGCAAGCCCCAAGAGATGTGGCCGTTCGGGGTCTGGGCCCCGAAGAGATTCCTCAGGAGTAAGGATTGTGGCTAAGAGGATTAGGCACAGGACTTAAGGACACGCCCAGAGGCACGGTGACGGATATTAACACGGAGCGTTCGGTAGCAAATCGTGGGAGTTTGGTATACCCTTTTAATTCAGTCTTTAGCGTCGACTTGTGTCGATTAGCGCCTGGGAGTCGATGAGATAGCGCCGATTTAGCGTCGGCTAGCGTTGATCAGCGTCGATTTAGCGCCGACTAGCGCCGACTAGCGTCGATTCGCAAGAGCCGACAAGATGGTATGGAGGCTCCCGTGAGTTGCCCCCGAAGGCGCGGTGACGGCTCCCCCACCCAGGGGGGAAGCAGGGGGCCAACAGAACGAAGTCGTGAAGCCACCTGCGCCAACGCACGGGGCGCCCTCGGGGTGCCCACTGGGCGCCAGCCTGGCGAAGACCAGGAAACGCCAGCTAGCCAACGACTGATAGCCCAAGTGGGAGCCCCCCTGACTCGGCATCGCTCAGGCGTGTTCATTTCCTTCGGCGAGGACCATCGAGGAGCATCCTGGATCATCTGGCCAAAAGAGGCACGCACGAAACCGAAGCATGCACGGGGAATGGACGTCCGAGCGATGGCGAACTAGGTGCAACAATTGTTAGGAGAAGTGCAAGCGCCCAAGCATTTAGATGCACCAGATCGCGGCTTGGGCTGGAGAGGAGCCCTTCTCCGAGACGCGGCCTCTCGAGGGCGCGACGATGACCGTGCATCGCAGGGTGCGATGCGCGAAGTTTGGTGACCTAGCTCCTCCCCCTTCCTCTCCCCCCTCCTCCTCCTCCTCCTCCTCCTCCTCCTCCTCCTCCCTCCTCCTCCTCCTCCTCCTCCTCCTCCCACATCCTCCTCCCACATCCTCCTCCCACATCCTCCACCTCCTCCTCCTCCTCATGATCCTCCTCTTTCCTTCTCGCAAATCGCAGCAAAACGTCAAGACCAGCAGAACACGAAAGCAAGCTAAAGTGAACACAGTTCAAATCCGACCGAAGAAGAAGAAGGAGAGAGAGAGAGAGAGAAGAGAGAGAGAACGAGAGAGAGAAAGAGAGAGAGAGAGAGAGAGCGAGCGAGAGAGACAGAGAGACAGACAAACAGAGGCTATGGATGCTTCTGGGCAGCCTGGCCGAAAGTGTGGTCAGCAGCAGGGCTACTGTGAGGCGGGAAGGGGTCATGCTCCCACTGGCCCACTCCTTCTCTCCTCCTACTCCAGAGCGAACATCTGCTCAACAGTGGGGCAGGTTCTGAGCCTGGTCCAGCTCACACTGCACCCTTGCTGCAGGGAGGCTGCACCCAAACAGCTAAGACTCCTGGCAGCATAGAAGAAGGATGGATATGTACCCAGTTTCGCTGTTTACTCGAAATCCCCCAATCATCGTCCCCAGGGTCTGGTTTTTTAAGGCGTCTTTTTTGAAAGCGGGGGGTGCGGCTTGTTAGGGCGGTTTCTTCAAACCGAAGTCGAGGGGGGTCCGGAATATTAAGGCCCCCTTTGACAGGGGGTCCAGGAAATCAGGTTGCCGTTGACGGGGGGGTCAAGTTTTTTAGGGGGGGTCGATTATTAAGGGATTTCGAGTACCCAGTTTCGCTGTTTAGGGACTCATGCCTGGGATCACCTCAACCAGGCACTAAAAGGAAAGCGGCACAAAATGTGCATGCCGCCTCCCCCCCCACCTCGGCTCGTCCCCTATCGCCAGTGGCGTCGGCTCCACCCTCCAGCTGGCTAGCTGGCAGTATCTGGCAGTGTCCAGCTCTGAAGTCCCCTGCAGTGTGGATGCGTGGTGGAAGAGGAATTCGGGGACGGAGGGAGACGAGAATGGGGGATAAGATCACGAGGGAGAGTTGGATAGCCACCGCTGTTACGACAGATCAGCGTTGCGGTGAAACCCCGCGCTTGCACTCTCCAGATCATGATCCGATTTCAGGGAAGCACAATCTGGCATCAGAGGCCAGTGCCGTTATGACAAACTGCCGTAGTTTCCTTAAGGGTCGTGTGCATCAGTTGCAAGAGGTAAGAAGAGTCTCCTATGAATCGAGCCTGTCTTGGGATGAAGTTCTAGGCACTCCTGCCATGCATGCATATCCTCTGGATACCGCCTCCTCCCCAGGGTGACTACGTGCCAGTAGCCCCAACCTAATCTCGGCTGCTGAAGAAATAGCCGCTGCAAGGCCAACGATGGCCAAAGAGGTGGGGTAGGAAAGGGACGGAGGTGTGCGGATGAGAGGCGGTAGGAATGGGAAAATTGGAAAACATCGCTGCATAATGCTTCCACAGCCTAGCCAGTTGGCTGCTGAACTAACTGAGCCCTGAGAAGGCTAATCGCTGCGCCACGCAATTCCTCGACTACTTCATCGTCGCAGCCGGATCTGGTCGCCTTGATGAAGTGGAGGACGGCTTGACAGCGCTTCTTAGCCTCCTCGGCCTTCTCCTTGGCGTTCGTTGCCTCCGTCTGGTCGCAGGAGCTTTTTTGACGCTGCACAAAGACCTCCTCGGTGCTGTCGGCGACGTGTGTAAATTCTGTGCCCTCCTCGCTCAGCTTCTCCGAGAGAGTACTGCTGTCGACGCTGCCGTCGGCGCAAAGCTCGGCGAACGTGCCGAAAAGGTGCTGTGGACCCGGCCGCCGGAGAGCTTCCCAGGATCGGTGGTGGCGTATTCCCCAGCTGCTTGGCCTCCGTCTCGGCGAGCTCGTGCACAGACTCGTCTGCTCGACGCGGGCAAGGTTTTTATCCATATCCACTGCGACTTGGAGTTTCCGGTTCCCTCCGATTCCAGAAGCGCCTTGGATATGGATAAATAATTTCGCCCCTAGAGGTCAGATTTCTATCCATATCCACTGCGCCGCGGCCTGTTGGCGCCCCCTCCCAGAAAGTCCAAGAAGCAGTGGATATGGATCTAAATCGTGCCCGCACTCTACCGCCCTTCGGAGCCAGGGCGGCCTCAAGCACGTCGAAGCGGTCATTGTGGGCGGCCAGCTTGTCTTCCGCCCAAGCGTGCTTGTCCGCGAGCATGCCCTGGTTGTCGGAGGTCGCGGCCACGTGGCCGCGGCGCACGGAGATCTCATTTGGCATGTCCGGCAGCTTTGCGGTGTCAGTTGTCGGCTCGCAGATGCAGCCTTGATCCGTGTGGCACTGCACCGAGACGCTCTCGTAGATGGAGTCGGTCTGCGTGCCACATGAGGCCAGATGGTCGCCACTGTACTGATTGATTCAGCTTTTGGTGGTGGAGTCGGTCTCGCTGAGGTCATGGTTGTCGGTGTGTCCTCCCATGGCACCCAAAGGAACCAATCGCGTCTTGTTCAAGCCATTCGCGCAATTTACTTACTGTCGCCAGGGCCGTTCCAGGATGGCTTGGAAGGGCCGCTGTCGTGCCGATACCACGAACATCCTTCACAAGATGGCTCGGAAGCCGATGTCCAGAGTCTCGAACTGAACGAGCCCCCGCAGCAATCGTCCACGCCTCGAAGAGATTGAGGATCTGGACTTGAGCCGTCAGGACTTCAGGAATACTGCTTCGCGTGGTCAGCGGACCGACCCGATTGATTGTTTTTCTCACATTATGGCAGCCGCTGCCGAAGGCGAGGGAGCACGGACCGCGCAATCGCCATGGCGGATGCTGATGCGACCCATCAGGTATGGTGAGGTGGCCAGAAGCCGCCGCAGCAGGCAGTTGTTTTCAGCCAAAAGTGGCTACAGAGCTTCCTCCTCCTTCTCCTCCTCCTCCTCCTCCTCCGTCCTCCTCCTCCTCCTCCTCCTCCTCCTCCTCCTCCTCCCTACGATCTGCTCCTCCTGCTCCTCCTCCTCCTCCTCCTCCTGCTCCTCCTCTCCTCCTCCTCCTCCTCCTCCTCCTCCTCCTCCTCCTCCTCCCTACTCTGCTCCTCCTCCCGCTCCTCCTCCTCCTCCACCTCCACCTCCTCCTCCTCCTCCTCCTCCCTCCTCTCCTCCTCCCCCTCCTCCTCCTCCTCCTCCTCCTCCTCCTCCTTTCTCCTCCTCTCCTCCTCCTCCTCCTCCTCCTCCTCCTCCTCCTCCTCCTCCCTCTCCTCCTCCTCTGCTGCTGCTGCTGCTGCTGCCCCTACTCCTCTTCTCTACGTTCTGCTCCTCCTTCTCCTTCTCCTCCTCCTCCTCCTCCTCCTCCTCCCTACGGTCTGCCCCTCTCTTACTCTTCCTCCTCCTCCTCCTCCTTCTTCTCCTCCTCCTCCTCCTCCTCTTTCTCCTCCTCCCTACGGTCTGCTCCCCCTCCTTCTCTCCTCCTCCTCCTCCCTCCTCCCCTCCCTTCCTCCTTCCTCCCCCCTCCCTCCTCCCTCATTATCCTCCCTGCTTTTTCTCCTCCTCCTCCTTCCTCCTCCTCCTCCCTCCTCCTCCTCCTTCTCCTCCTCCTCCTCCTCCTCCTCCTCCCTTCCTCCTCCGTCTTCCTCCTGCTCCTCCTCCTCCCTTCCTCCCCCTCTAGCGCCCCCGTCGTGATAGTTATTTGGGAGTGCCGCATGGCTCCGGGCCGCCCTGCTGGGCGATCTGACACTGCGGGCCCATGTGGAGCAGCGCCGGTGACGCCGCGAGCGGTCGCACAAGACGCCACGCACCGTTCTTTCCTCTGCCCCCTCTCCTCCTGCATGTCCCCGCCTGCTGCTGCTCCATCCTCGCTCCTCTTCCCCTCTCTCTCTCTCTCTGCTGTTACTCGTTCTGCGTACTCCATTCTTGTCTCCCACGAAGATGGCCCAGGAGTGGCCCGCCAGCTCACCCCCTCCGCGTTCTGTTTTGTTTCACCGGATTGCAGTATTTGGTATGTTTTTTCTTTGATCTGAGCTCTTTCGCTGACTCGAAATGGTGATGCCGCTGCAGCAGTTGGCCTCATTTTAGAATCGGTGCTTTGCTCCCGTCGCTCAGAATGACGCTCTCGCCCCAGCGCGGGCAATTTTTCTGGATCCGAATCCTTCCTCATCGTTGTCGCCACTCTCCGTTCCCCTCCTCTGCTTTCCCCTGGTCTTCCCGCTCCGTCCGCTCTAGTTCCCGCTGCTGCTGTCCGTCCTCGTTGTCCCCCCCCCCTTCCTCATCCTCTGTTTCCTCCTGCTCATTGTCCTGCTCATCCGCCATTACCTCCTCCTCCCCGTCCTCCAATTTATGCAGCTCCCCCTTTTCATTCCTTTTCCGATTGCGCATAACACGGTGGGTTTTTATTTGGGAGTTCCAGGTCCGCTATGACACGCGTCCGCGGAAAGAGAAACAACCAAATGGGAAGGGATTGTTGGGAGGGGTAGGATGTCAGATGTGGAACGAGAGCACCTACAGTGGAGGCTGCCCCATTCCCCGGTCGCGAGGATGGCGCCCCCGCCTGCTCTCATGGGGAGGGCCTCAAGCGGATGTCGAGAGAATCCGCCGCATTTGATGCGGCCTCCTTCCTCCCGTCTGTCCCTTCCTCCTCACTCTTTCCCCCCTCGTCCCTCCCCGCCCCTTCTTTATTATCCTCCCTCTCTTTCTCCTCATCCTGCTTTTCCTCTTCCTCTTTCTTGCTTCTCCTCCCTGTCTCACTCCCAGCTGCTTCCGTCCTCCTGCCTCCATTCCTCCCTCCTGCCTTTTCGCACCTCCCTGTGCCTTCCTCTCCCCCCCCGCCTTCTCGACCTCCGTTTCCGTTGTCGTTTTTGTCCCAACCATCTTGTGGTGTTGGGTTCTCGTTTTGAAGAGGCAGCGCCCCCGCGTCCTCACCTCACTTTCTTCCTCCGGCTCCTCCCTCCTCCCTCCTCCCCTCCCTGCCTCTGCCCTCCGCGTGTCTCTGGTTCGGCACCCCTGACGCCCCTCACGCGCTTCGTGGCCTGATAGGGAGCTCCACCGAAGGCCCCACTGGCTGCGCTCGCATGGCACCACCACATCCATGTGCACCATCGCGTCCATTTCGGCACACCCGTCACACGCTTCGTGGCCCTATAGGGGGCTCCACCGAAGGCACCAGTGGCTGCGCTCGCATGGCACCGCCGCGCAAATTTCGGCGCACCCCTCAAACGTCTCGTTGCTCCATAAGGGGGCTCCACTGAAGGCCCCATTGGCTGCGCTCACATGGTACCACCGCGTCCATTTCGGCACACCCTTCACACGTTTCATAGCCGCAAAGGGAGCTACACCGAAAGATGTCGGTACCCACAACGCGGTACTCACAATTGGACATGGTTGTGTTTTTCGCTTGTTGAACATATGATTTGTATGTTTCTTCTCCTCCTCCTCCTCTTCCTCATGCTCCTTGTCCTGCTCATCCTCCACCCCGTCCAATCCTCATCTCTCAGTTTTCTTGTTTGCTCTGTCTGTCTTTCTTTCTTTCTTTATTGCGAAGGCCTTACGGCCAGTGCCGCCGACCCTGAGAACGACGAAGATGAAAACGAGGGGGGGCAGGGGGAGGAGGATGAGTGGGAGGTGGAGGAAGGGCGGGGGAGGTGGATGAGGGAGGAGGAGGGGGGAGAAGGATGTGGAGGAGACTCAAGAGGAGGAGAAGGAGGCAGAGGAGAGCAGGAGGAGGGGGAGAAGAGGGGGGGGGAGGAGGAGGAGGAGGAGGAGGAGGAGGAGGAGGAGGAGGAGGAGGAGGAGGAGGAGGAGGAGGAGGAGGAGGAGGAGAGGCTTTCTTGGGACAGCCTGGGGCTCTCTTGAGGCCGTCTTGGGCCGTCCAGGGCTCCCCTTGCGCCGTCTCGAGGCACTCTTGGAGGCCTCCTGGGCAATTTGGGGCTCTCCTGGGCTGTCTTGGGGCAAACTTGGGGGCCTCTTGGGCCGTCTTGGAGGCGTTTTGGGCCGTCTTGGGGCCCTCTTTGGCCGGTAGGGGACCCTCTTGAGGACCTCTTGGGCCGTCTCGGTGCGATCTTGGGGGGCCTCTTGGGCCGCCTTGGCGCGTCGGGAAGCGGAAGAGGCAAGAACGCCAAAATCTCTTAAAAACGTGTGGGAAATCAATGCATTTTGCTTCTTGGGGCTCTCGTGGGAAAGCTCCTGGAGGCCTCTTGAGGCGCTTTGCAGGCCTCTTGGGCCGTCTGGAGGCCGTCAAGGCGTCTTGGACAGATCGTTCGGCGATTCGGGGTTCTCTTGGACTGCCTCTTGGGGCACTCTTGGCCCGTCTTGAGGCTTTTTTCGGCTCCGGGACTCCCCGGGGGGCGCTCCGGGACTCCCCAGGGGAGCGTTCTATCTAACCCCCCTCCGGGACCCCTCCCCCCTACCCCCCACTCCCCCCGGCGGGGAAGGGATCAAAGGAAAGGGGCTTCTTTTCGACTCAATTACGACGTTGCTCAACTTCGCTTTGGTTGGCGCGCTGATGAGGTCCCTGGAAAAGGGGGGAGCTTCGACGAGCCCAGGGCAAGGGGGAGGCAGTGAAAGGGAACGACAGAGACGACGACCAACGAATGACGGAGATGACGACTTGACCGGACAAGCACCTCACACACGCCGACAAGGTCGGCGGATTTGTTTTTCTCTCTCTCTCTCTCTCTTTCCTTTTTTCTCTCGTTCTCTCTCTCTCTCTCTACCTCTGTTTCTCTCCCTCTCTCGTTTTTAGATGTGTCTATCAACTCATGCTTGTTAATATCTCTCTTTCTTTCTGTCTCTCTCTCTCTCTCTCTTTGTTTGGCCCAAGAACTTGTCCACGGAACAGTTTCTTAAGCGTGATTTGGATCCTCAGACCATGGCCGGGGGGCCCAGCGGGATCTGGCATTCCTGCGTCGAGTACCACCGCCCGCCTACGACTGCACACCGCGCCGCCCGCCTGGCCAGCGAACGCGGAGGGCGCCACGCGTGGCACGGCCAGCGCTGGCCCAGAGGAAAGTCCACCGGGGAGGCAGGCGCATCGACCGCTGGCCGCCACGCGCGGTCTATCGGACCCGCCGCCCAGTGCCGCCCGCGCGCGAGCCAGCGCGAGCGCGCCGACGGCCATTCGGGCGCTCCTGCGGCCGTCTGGGCCCGCTCACGGGGACCTGGCGGCCGGGACCGGCGGACCCATCAAGCCCGAGGCGGCGCCGGCCCCCGTGCCGCGCCGCATCGGCGGCCTCGAGGACGAGATCCATCGACTCCTGGGCGCCGAGGCCTGGCAGCGTGCCGAGCTCCCCGCGCTCGCTGCCAGACACTCCAGGCGGCCCAGTCTCGTCTGGCACGACAAGCGCCTGCTTCAACGGCCACCTCCGAGGGTGCTCCACGCCAGCAGCGCCGTGTGCTCGGCCGCCCCCAGGCCGCCGACGCGCGACGCCGACCGCTGGGGTCCTGCGTCCGGCGTGACCAGCGTGACCATGGTACCCCCGAGCCCCCACCTGGGCAACACCCAAATGAGCGACGTCAACGAACGGGGTCGTCTTTACCGACGTTGGCGCAGAAGCCGCCCGCGTAAGGTCGCGCGTGAGCGCCTTCGTCTCCAATGTGGCGTGCCGCGCCGGCGCCCCACGTGAGCCGCGGCGTGAGGTCGCTGTGCCATCTCGCGTAAGACCGGTTGTTGATCGTCGCTTAGGTGGCTTCGGCACCGAAAGCAAAGGTCGCAGCTTCGAAGGTCGTTGAGGGGACGAAGAGCGGTGTACAAGAAACACGTGTCCACCGTCGGGGCGCCTGCCCCAGGGGGAGGTTGGAAAGTTTGTACCCCTACAGTGGAAGTCGTACCCCTACAGTTTGTTTTCGTCGCCCACCTGGGCCACACCCAAACGAGAGCTGCCCAGCACCCACGGGCGATTCGCCCCCCAGGGCTGGA